AGGACTTTGCATTACCCTCGGAGACGGATGGCAAAAAATGACTTTTTTTTTCCCCCTTCAGCTTACAAGTTAAGTGAAACTCCCATAGGTTGCATGACAAACATATCTATCTCTGTCTTTATCTCAAATGTGCAAAAGTCAAGGCCATTTGAACAGCTTGGCATCATTTCCAAGGAAACTGAGAATGCAAAGAATTTGTCTCCTTGTAAAATGTAGTGACTCTTTTATTCTTTAAGGGTGATGTTCCTGGCAGCCCTGGGTTGAATGGCAAAGCTTGGCATAGTTCAGAGCATGTGAAATCGATAGGTAGAGCTGGGGTAAAATGGTCAAGGGAACTGCAGTTAATCACATGGCATTAAAATTTATTAGGTGATTGCATGATTTGCCAGTGAGCAGGTGCATGCAAGGCAAAATTTAGCCTTCTTTATCTTAAGCCTTGCCTTGATTCCCACAAAACCTGCTTGCTTTCTCCCATAACCTCTCTCTCTCTGCCTCTATTGTTCTTTGTGGGTTATTGGAAATTATAAGTTATCTATGGATTTATTTCTAAAGACAAATACATTTGACACAGTACAGGTTCTCTGAGCACTGTCCATACATGAGAAAATACAGTAATTTTGTTTTATTCATTTCAAAGGACTTTATCTGCCTATCAGTTTTTCACTTTTTCTATAACCGATGCTATAGATATTCTCTCCTTATGAATTTAAGGGATGAATTTTACTTTAATTAATGATTACAGTATAGAAATATTTTATTAGTTCTAGAAAAGGTAGAAAAAAATGAGAATTCCTCATTCGTTTGGGGGTGGGAAGTGGGTGATCAAACGGTATGCCGAATTTCACATTGCATGTGAAATATAGTCATCCTATCAGTAAGAAAATCCCTTTTTCTTGTTATGCTTCCTATTAGATTTTTTTTGCCTGGTTTCTTGAAGAAACGAGGCTTTTGTTACTGTGCTGCGTGTTTGAAGTTGGGTCTATTTGCCGAAACCCTTTGAACTCCTTCAGTTTTTGACAAGTTTTGAGACAAGGGCAGAGAGGGGTGCAAGCAGGCTGACAACGTGTGTAGCTTCTTTCCCAGCAGCTCCGCAGTGCCCGGTGCAGGCCCTTAGCCAGCTTGCACACAGTAGGGTTTTGCAAGCTGTAATTTTGTTTGATTTCTGAGAAAATTTTAAAAAATAGTCCACAAATGCTGAAACATAGTGCTATGTTTCAGCAAATAATATTGTGTTTGTTCTTCATTAAAAGCAAGCTGCAGTAACATGCCAGGTGCATGATCTGCAGCAAAAACGTTCAGAAGTCAAAAGCGAAGGACATTTAATCCTGACCAAGCAGATTAAGCATTTGGTACAAAAGCTGGAGAATATTCAAGATAATAATAACATACTCTGCATGTTGCCATGCAGCTTCTCTAGCAGTTGGAGTCCAAAGGGGTCATACCAACCACAAGTGAAGGAAGGAAAACACTCAGCAAGGTGAATATTGCTCAGAGCATTAGCTTCCTGTACCTTCGCCCACAGCAGGGTCCAAGCAATTAAGAGTCCTCATTGCGGGAAGGCTTCTAGCGACACACTTTCCTCCTGCCCACATTTTCTCAAATTTCTTAATTTGGACAGGTGGTCACTTGTGATCCAACAAAAGTCACTTGATTTGCAAATTAACCTAGATTTTTTTTTTCACAGAAAAAGCTGAAATGTTTTTCCTTCCTATATTTTACATTTTGTATGGGATGAGCCAATCATTAGCTCTGTGACCACTGTCAAACTACTGGAAAAACGATGTGAAATCATTTATATTAATATTACCCTAAATAAATCTGGGTTGTTATGAAAGGGGGATTGATGGGAGAAATGAGATTGTGCTAGAAACACCTTCCTAGTCCCCCCCAAAAAACAGAGTTCCCAACTTTTGCATCAATATATCTATTTTAATATTTATGTGCTCCTAAATGTTTGTGCAATTCCATTTCTCTTCACAAGTCAAGATAAATATCAGAGATTTTGGAAAAAAGAAAGAGTCATGCTT